AAAGAAAGAAAGAAAGAAAGAAAGAAAGAAAGAAAGAAAGAAAGAAAACTACAACAAGCAAACAAACAAAATACCTCTGGAGACCAAATGAATGATAGAGAAAAAACACATTGGAAGACTAGAGTCTGCACATAAGCAGTGAATGATTAACACGAGCTCACCATGGCAGGCCCTGGGGCTCTTTACTCCCTCAGCTATGGCCTAACTGGTTTCAGATGATGATGTGACATTGGATAAATAGGAACTACAATTATTTGCTTGCACTGCTGCCCTCCCTGACAATCCAGATAATGCCTCCTTCACAGTCCTCCAAAGTCCCCAGAAGTCCCAGGTAACAGCCTCAGGAGCACCCCACCCTTGCCGTGGATGAGGGAAGCACGAATTGTGTGATTATTTATTTACTCACAGCCTCTACAGGCTACAGAAAAATCAACAAATGAGGTGGCAGCCCAGCTTCAATACAGGTCTCCACCTACCGATCATACCTTAGTCCCATAACATACTCTTGTCTCTACTCTTTGCACAGAACGGTGTCTTTTGACATCTTTACTCTTGAGTAGACCCCCCTTTTCCTTCTGAACACTTAGCAAATGTTCTGCTCGCCACTGGGGGACTAGAGGTAGAAGTAAGACAGTTCAGCCCTCAAATTGGGTTATCTTTCAAAGGCCTTTTCATGGGTCTGTGGGCCTGCCTCAGATACAATCCCTTCCAAACTCTCAGACTAATCATTAATGAGCACAAATATCTTTGTGCTTCTCCTTGCTTTTGTGTACTCAGTCACCTGTGTGAAGAGCAAAAAAGAAAGAAAGAAAGAAAGAAAGAAAGAAAGAAAGGAAGGAAGGAAGGAAGAAAGAAAGAAAGAAAGAAAGAAAGAAAGAAAGAAAAGAAAAAGAAAAAAGAAAAAAAAAAGAAAACACCTCCATTGAATTAGAACAGGAGAGACTGGAGAGATGGCTCATAGGTTAAGAAAACTGACTGCTGTTCCGGAGGTCCTGAGTTCAATTCCCAGCAACCACACGATGGTTCACACTCATCACCTATAATGAGAGCTGGTGTCTAGAACACTATATATATATATAATAAATAAATTATAATAAATAAATTAAATTAAAAAAACAGGATGCCAACAGCAACACATTAGGGTCAACACCCAGTGTGGTCTGTTGCACTTCAAGCAAGTTAAAAGTCATCTACACTGCAAGATATGACCATTACTCAAATATCACTCACTCATACACACACACACACACACACACACACATTCCTCTTTAGAAAAATAATAATTTGCCTTATTAAACACTCCTTTTGGTTGGGGTGGGTCTAACTTTGGAATAGCCCCAGGATAAAGACTCTGATATCAACTAAAATCATATAACTCTATGGCTAAAAAAAATATGACTGTAAGGCAGTGGGCGTGAACGTAAGTATATGAGCAGCACTGTGGCCAGAAATGTGAGGGAGAATCTAACAAACAAAATGCTTGCTGTCTGTGCAAAGGACACCAGAACAGGGCATGAGAGACTAGAGAATCCTTGAGCTTCCTCATTAGCAGAAAGTCCAAAGGATGGAGAGAATAATTTCTCTTTTTTATTATTTTGATCTGACTAGCCATGGGTCATGTGTTTCTCTGGTTCCAGGAAACACGTCAGTGTGCCGGAAGTATATGAAGCACTGATGGGGCAGAGGATGGCTGTGTGTTTCATTTCAGTCAGGACCTTCGTAAGCATGGCCCTGGACCAGTGTCTGACCTTGGGTTCTAAAAGGAAACTGTCAGAGAATAATCAGCAGAAGTGGTCACATAATCTCTGAGACCTAATTTTCAAAGAAAGGACACTCATCAAGGAAGGAGAAATGCCCCCAACCAATTTCATCAGTTCACTGGCTCTTCTTAGACCCCAAACCCAGTTCCACCTGAGAACACGGCTGTATCAGCATGACATCTGACCTGGAGCTAGTTTCCCCAAGTTGCCTCAGTTAAGTCTAGAAAAGAAGGCTCCAGACAACTCTCCCTGAGTGTGCCCTGCATTTGATAGCCTCCCTGGGTGTGCCCAGCATCTGACACCCTCCCTGGGTGTGCCCAGCATCTGACACCCTCCTTGAGTGTGTCCAGCATCTGACACCATCCCTGAGAGTGCCCTGCACCCGAAAACCTCCCTGGGTGTGCCCAGCATCTGACACACTCCCTGGCGTTTGACACTCTCTCTGAGTGTGGTCAGCATCTGACACCATCCCTGAGTGTGCCCAGCATCTGACACTCTCCCTGGCACTTGACACCCTCTCTGAGTGTGGCCAGCATCTGACATCATCCCTGAGTGCACCCTGCACTTGACACCCTCCCTGAGTGTGCCCAGCATCTAACAACCTTCCGAGTGTGCCCCCACATTTGATACTCTCCCCAGGTATGCCCTTCATCTGACACATGCTCTGAGTGTGCCCATCTTAGCTGAAATATTCAAATATTAGAAGACGCTCCTAGCTGGTCTCTATCTATTGGCTTCTAATCTCTCCTTCCTTCAATACGCTTTATTTCTCTTTTTAAAGACTGCAGTGACTTCTCTGCTTCAGAAGCTTCTAAACCCTAGCTGTTTTTTCAAAAAGTCTGAGTGCTGTAGCCTGGCATTCAAAATCCTTGGCACTCAGGACCTGGTCTTATCCTCCTGCTTTCTCTCCCTGTGCCATGTGCTTCCAGCAGACAAAGTGCTCACATCCCCTTCCCTGCTTAGAATGTACTCTCTGACTCATGCAGATACCGGGTCTGTCCTTTCCTTCTTCATCTTGTATCCAAGTCAAAGAAAGAAAGGAAGGAAGCAAAGAAGGAAGGAAGGGAGGGAGGGAGGGAGGGAGGGAGGGAGGCAGGGAGGGAGAAAACAAAGAAGGAAGGAAGGGAGAAAGAAGGAAAGAAAACTTCCTCTGGAGAAATACCTTTGGCATTTCATTCTAAGGATATTATCTCCCTGCTCTGACTTCCCACAAGTATGTGTCAATACCTCTGATTAACATATTGCAGTAAAGTTTAGAGTGTCCGTCCCCACGTGACTGGGCGTCAGCATACCTGCCATATCTAATCTCCCCTTCACTGAGCTCAGTGCCTTCCAACATCGTCAGCCACTTCTCAGACACACTCAGTTCACTGCTGCTCTTGATCTTTGCCTCCACTCCTCCTTCTGCCTGGAAAACTCATTCCTCAATATTTGCACACATTCTTCCCCTACGCCATTCAAAGCCTTCTCAGAGAGTCCTTTCCTGATCACCCAGCCATCCAAAAATGGGTCCCACCCTCAGACATACTTATGCCCTATGTTACTTTTTCATGTTTGCATTTCCTCCTCTGTACACCTGCCCTGCTTTCTCGTGCCATGTTTATTACTCAGGAATCAGTAAATAACCCTCTCTCTAACCCTTCCTTCTTCTGCAGAATGATGCGGGCCTGTTCCTTAGCAGCGGCCATGTCACCGCAGTGCTCAGTTAGACAGAGGTAATAATTCTGACCCTGAAAGAAACAGTGTGGTCTCCCTATCTTTCCCTGGCTAACAAACTTAATAAGAGGCAGAAAGGTCTATTGGGGAATATTCCTTTACGCTGTGTGAAGATATGTCACTGTGATTGGTTTAATAAAGAGCTGAGGGGCTGGAGAGATGGCTCAGAGGTTAAGAGCACTGATTGCTCTTCTAGAGGTCCTGAGTTCAATTCCCAGCAACCACATGGTGGCTCACAACCATCTGTAATGGGGTCTGGTGCCCTCTTCTGGCCTGCAGTCATACACACAGACAAAATATTGTATACATAATAAATAAATAAATAAATATTTAAAAAAAATAAAGAGCTGAGTAGCCAAAAGCTAGGCAAAAAGAGATTAGGTGGGGCTTCTGGGGACAGAGAAGTCTCTGAGGAGGGAGAGAAAGGGGGGTCACCAGTTAGACACAAAGGAAGCAGGACATGAAGGAGGAGAAATAAAAGCCACGAGTCATGTGGCACCATATGGACTAATAGAAATGGGTTGTTTTAAGTTATAAGAGCTAGTTAGAAACAAGCCTAAGGTAAGATCAAGTTTTCATAATTAAGAAGTCTATGTGTCATTATTAGGGAGCTGGCAGAACCAAGGAAGACTTACTATGGATGTCTGCTCTGCAAATTCAAGCTCTCCGTTAAGTGGTAGATGGCTCAATTCTAGCACATGGTAGGAAAGTGCAGGTGGATCTCTGTGAGATCAAGGCCAGCCTCGTCTACTTTGAAAGGTCCACAAAAGTGCTACCCAACCCTGTCTCATAAAAACAAACAAACAAGAAGTCTCTTGAAAAGTTCTAAATCTTTCTAAAACATCCAATGTCTCCTAACTATGGGTTCCTTGGGGAAAAATATTAAACATTTTCTTACGCCAAGAAGGAAGGGCACAGCCACAATCAAATCAGAGCCAAACCAAAATTCAACACCGTCAAACATCAAGTGCTTGGCATCTGGCTCTCACTCCAGTCCTCCAGGCTCAAAGCAACCTGCATCTCTTCTCCATCTCCGCCCTCTGGACTACACATAGCTCGTCTTCTAGTCTTGGGCCTACTCTACTCTACAGATGCTGTTATCCTCGATGGTGTCCCTATGGTACTGGCATTCTCACAATAGAAAGGCTCTGCAGCAACTGGGCTGAACTTTCACGAATATCCTGGGCTCTCTTCAGGGACACTGCTCATGTTACGTGAAGCCAAGCTTCAACTTCCCTCCTGGACCCCTTTCAACCCAGAGTCCTACTACAACTAAGGTTTGACCGTCCCTAAAGGCGTCTCCTGATCTTACAAAGTACCAAGCCTCAGCTGCTCTTCATGACCCTCAGCCTGTCATCACCCGGGATACTCTTACACATTTCCAAGTTCGGTTGCCCAGAAGGAGGTACAACCTTGGTTGTCTCTGTTCCACTGCGTCTTCGTGCTGACCCTGAAGAAACACTACCCAGAAGATTTCACCTCAGCAATGATGATCTCTTCTTAACCTCCATGAACGTTTGAGACCGAGGGACCAGAATCAATGGCCCCAGAAGCAGAGGTTTCACTTTAGTCCCCTGTTCATCACAACCAACTCTTCGGCCCCAGCTGGCCAGAGCCACAAATTCTTAATTCAGAATATCACAAAAATAGCTCTGATAGAGTCTTTTCTTCCCCCTGAAGTTTCACAAGCCAGGTCATCTTTGTCTGCATAGCTCTCAACGTCCTTATCTTCCAAGCTCCCACGAAACAGCCCACTGAGCTCTGAACACTCAGTAGCTTTCCTAGACTGAAGTTCTAACTCCTTCTGCCATCTTTCCGAAAACAACAACATGACCAGACCCGTCTCTAGGCAACAACACGGCAACAGTCAAGTCTCTAGTACCAGTTTCTGTCTTAGTACCACAGTGTCTATTGCTGTGATAAAGACACTGACAAAAAGCATCTGGGGAAGAGAGGCTTTATTCTGGTTTCCAATCACAGTCCATCACAAAGGAGTCAGGTCAGGGACTCAAGGGTGAGAGGCGTGAACTAAAGCATGGACCATGAAGGAACGCTGCATACTGGCTTATTCCCTTTGGCTTGCTCAACCTGTTTTCTTACACAACCCAGGAACAACCTGCTCCGGATTGCCTCTCCCACGGTAGGCTGGGCCCTCCCCATCAATCATTAATCGAGAAAACGCTTGAAAAGAAAAGGCCAAACTAAAGTAATCAATTCTTCAGTTGAGGTTCCCTCTTCCTGATAACTCTAGCTTGTGTCCCATTAATAATAGCTACCCAGAAGCCCTTATCTATGTGTTTAGTAGCGGCCATGTTTCCCCTCTACCAATGTAGGTTTGACAAGAGTAGAGGTCATAGTTCTGATCACTGGGGAGTTCTGAACATTACCTGGCACACAGTTAAGGACTCAAAGGCTAAATGGAATACCAAGGGAATCAATTTCTTTCATTGCTTAAAACAAAGACAAATTAAACAAAAACTTCGAAATAAGGTTCTTACTTCACAAATGGCATATGTATGCCTACCTCCATAAGGATGAGTCCTGTAACTGGGACTTGGTGGGGAATACAGGTGCAGCTGGGCTGTGAAGATCCAAACCACTCGAAAAATATATTCAGTGAATGGATGCAGGGGCTCCACTGCATATGAGAGCTTGGGCACAGTCTAGATGCAGGAGAGAGCAAAAGTCAGCATGCGTCCAATTACCGTGGCCCACAGAGTTCAGATTAATTTGGGTGCACCTTTGGGGAGGGGGCTGCCCCGATCCTGCTGCATGACCAACAGCCCAGGAGCCGAGCTTCCAGACACCAGTCTGCATTAGTCACAGCATTCTCTCCTTCAGGGAAGGCTAAGCATTCTGTGACTCAGCACTCATCTCAAGGACTTACTCGAATTTTCCCATGTTACTACACTTGGTACATTAGGCTCCCTTTTTTTCTGAACGTGCTCATACTTTCCCGAAAGGGACTATCCTGAAAGCCCGTTCTTCTAAATTAGAGACCCTTTTAAGGATCTCCCTCCTGCTCTTCACCCTAGTTGGAATCACTTTACAGGTTGGTATGGATAAAAAGGAAAAATGGTTCTATGATGCTATGCTGACAGAATTATATATGTGACATGTATACTTTTTCTTCATAAAGGGTTTTCAGAGTACCAGAGATTAAGGTTCAGTTAATCCAGCCACTGTGCTCAATCATTGCTAGAACGCATTATTGTTAACAAGTCATTTTCTCTATCCACATGAGAGATTCCTTAAACCCCCAGTAGAAGCTTGAAACATCAGATAGTACCAAACCCTACATATAAACACCATAATGCCAATCCTGTGACGGTCAGCTCAATAACCTTACTAGAGGCTGTCTGAGAGATGACTGGTGTATACGGTGCAGAAAATTGAGCCTAAGTATGATTGTCTTCCCAATGAGCGAGAGCGAGAAGACCTGATAGTTCATCATGCTCCTCAGAATCTGTGATTTAAAACTTCCACTTCATTTCAGAAGTGGTGGTGGCGTTGGTGAGTTTGGCTTGGTTTGGCTTTCAGGCAGGGTTTATTTTGTAGTTCATGCTAGCCTGGAACTTTCCATGTTGCCCATACTGGCCTCAAACTCACAATACTCCCTCTTCAGCCCACCAAGTAGTGAGATGACAGCCCTGTGCCACCACACCTAGCATTTTCTTTAAATATTTTCCCATTTAAAATTGTAAATAACATCTGAGCACGGGTGACTGAAACTTTGGAAACTGAAAGCACAGGTAATGATATCTTGGAGCTTTGAATAATTTGGGGGACAAAATGTCTTTGTTTAGATAAGAAAATAGCTTTGCATACCTCTGTGTATGTCCAGCTTCCTGGAAGCCGGTCATATTTCCACTGGATGATGTATTTTACGCCAGAGATGTTGGCAGGGTTCCATCGTAATGTCACGCTGTGACTTCCAATGGAAGACGCAAAGGGTGCTGTCGGGAGCTCTGTACTTTCTGGAAGGAAATCACATGTCAATCACTAGTCACTCCGTGGATGGGTGTGGCTGTTTTGTCTAGGCCTCTCCTGCTAAATAACACATCAGAGCATAAATTATATTCAAAGCAGTCTGTCTTTTTTCTCGCAGGAAGGCAACACGGTGTTCTGAAACTGACCATTTTCTTAGGGCCCCATTTTCTTACAGGCAAAGGGAGAAGATGCCAAAACCATGTCCGTGGTATAGTAGAAGCATCCAGGACATGGTACCCCAAGGCATTTTCAAATTTTGCTATCGCTGCGGATCCTAACACTATGCCTTCTTTACTGTAGACGGCAGGGTGTGTTACAGAGTAAAGCCAGCTTTGTGCGATGCTGGGGATCAAACCCAAGGCTTCATGTGAACTACAACCTCAGTCCCAACAAACTATTCTCATATGCACCAAGCTATTGCTTTTACCCCAAAGACTACATGCTCCCCTGGTCTGTGTTACAACACATGCCATGGTTTCTCAAAACTGGGGTCACTGTGGGGTCACTACATTTAGTAGGGACTTCATGAGTCTTTGCTAGATTTCTGCAAGGTATATGCAACTAAAATAACATTATCTTAGTCTTTTTATTTTCCTAAACTCACGATGGATTTAAGACTTCAAATTTCATTTATTGAAAAAGCACTGTACTGGGCGGGAGAGATGACTCAGAGGTTAAGAGCACTGACTGCTCTTCCGGAGGTCCTGAGTTCAATTCCCAGCAACCACATGGTGGCTCACAACCATCTGTAATGAGATCTGGTACCTCTTCTGGCCTGTAGGCATCCATGGAAGCTGAACACTGTGTACATAATAAATAAATCTTTTTTAAAAAAGCACTGCACTGATTGTCAGATTGGTAAGGAGCTTAAAATTATTAAATGCAAAGCCTGAGAACCTCACTCTCGCTCTCTTGGAGGTGAATAGTGAGACAATTTTCATCACTACAAATAATGAATATGGACTAATTAAAACGCCTTTTAATTGGTGTTGGATGGAGGCCGATTGTTGGTTCCCGGCTGCTCAGCCCCAAAATAACCACTCAGAAACTGTATTAATTAAATCATTGCTTGGCCCATTAGCTCTAACTTCTTATCAGCTAACTCTTACATCTTAATTTAACCCATTTCTATTAATCTGTGTATCACCATGAGGTCGTGGCCTACCAACAAAGTTTCAGTGTGTCTGTCTTCGGCAGCTCCATGGCTTCTTCCTGACTCTACCTCCTTTCTTCCAGCATTCTGTTTAGTTTTTCCCACCTAGCAGTGTTCCCCATAGCTCTGCTATAGGCCCAAAGCAGTTCCTTTATTAACCAAAGATATTCACAGCATACAGAGGGGAATCCCACATCATGATGACCCTAGTCCAAGTTACCCACATGGTGAAAGGAGAGAACCAGTTCCCATTAACTGTTCTCTAATTTCTACAAGCATACTAGAGCATGCACACATACACATGCACACATACGCACAAGTGCTCACACACACAAAAATAAATGTAGGGACTGAAGAGATGTCTCAGTGATTAAAAGGACTTTATAATCTCACAGAGGACTTGAGTTCAGTCCCCAGTACCTATGTCTAGTGGCTCACAATGGATTGTAACTCCACCTCCTGGGGAGCTGACTCTCTGGCCTCCATGGGTACCTTCACTCACATGCACAAAACCACATGCAGACACAACATATACACATAATTAAAAATAATAAAACTTGTGGGGTGTGGTGTTTCAGGCCTTTAATCCCAGCACTTGGGAAGCAGAGGCAGGAGGATCTCTGTGAGTTCAAGACTAGTCTGATTTAAAAAGAGTTCCTTGGCAGCCAGAGCTGTCACACAGAGGAACCCTGTCTCAAACACCCTAGAGGTAAAATAAAACTTTTGTCGTTGTTGTTGTTTTGAGACAGGATTTCCCTATGTAATAGCTCTGACTGTCCAGAAACTCACTTTGTAGACCAAACTGACCTCGAACTCACAGAGATACACCTGCCTCTGCCTCCAAAGTGCTGGGATTAAAGGTGTGTGCTGCCCAGCTAAAACAAAACTTTTAAAATTAAAATAAATAAATGTAAGTTTAAAATGTTTAAATAGCACATAAAGAACAAAATTATATTTTTATTTCAACCTTAAATAAAAATTACTGTATGTTAATGGCACTCATGTGTCCCTTGAACACTTCATAACTTTCCCAGGGGCATGATCTAATTGAGTATTGCCATGGTCACGTCCCGTCTCCCTTTTATGAAAGTTTTTTGTTGCAATAAAAATCACCAAAAGTATCAGCCTTATTAGCAATGAAGTCATGGGAAAGAGTATAGTAAGATCTACTGTTACGTCACCAACCACACGTGAGCCGCAGATCCAACAGCTGTCCACTCTCCCTGTATCCCTGAGGACTGAAACCGTCCTCTATCCCTCAAGGGTGCGATAATGCCCTCGGCTGCTTCCATGATATCTTGGGGTGTTTCTGGGCACCACTTGGAAACCACAAATACAAACTGTTATCCATAGTTAACTTTCACAATGTAGTTGGAAAAACTGTCACACGTCTGCCCCATTACAGAAATGCAGAGCATTGCTTTCTGTTTCTTCTGGTTATGAGGCACTAAAGGGCAGCACGTGCTGGGACAGCAAGCAATGCTCTCCCCTCAATTCCCAACAGCCTCTGGGAGCAAGGAACCAGCCTCTGAGAGAAGAATGACAGCTTATAGAAGAGCCAGGAAACCCAGTCTGCTAAAATCTGCCCGTGGAAGAGACACTGGGGAATCTACTGGATTCCACTAACATGGAGGCTGAGTTGTCAAAAGGCAGGCCCTTCAGACATCATGGAGAATCAGTGCACTAGGATCAAGCCCCCTACTTAAACACACCCAGCCCAGTTTCAAATTAGGCCCAGGGAGCTGCCATGCACAGGAGTTTCCCCACCCATTCCCAATCCAACCCTGGGAGGCATAGCTGCTAAACACTCACAAAGCCCTACTGTCTTTTCTGAGTGGTCATGCATACAGTACATTCTTTATTGAATAACTATTAACTGAACAATGCTTCACATTAAATAAATTATTCTGATTCCTTCAGCTCATCAAAATAGCAGCCCTCCTTGATATCAAGTCTGTTCAGGATGTGGTACCTGCTCCCTCACTGGATTAACAGGGATTGAGCCAGGTGTGTAGCTCATCAGGAGCATGCACAAGACCTTAGGATTTGATCCCAAGAACCACGTAAAACTAAATGTGTTGGTGCACACTAGTAGTCTCAGGAGAATAGAAGTAGAAGCAGGAGTTCAAGGTCTTCCTCGGCTATATATCAAATCCAATGCCTTTTAAACTTGTGAGAACCTAATGTGTGTGTGTGTGTGTGTGTGTGTGTGTGTGTGTGTGTGTCTACTGACCTTGAAGACAAAAAATGTCTGTCATGTTTCCTATGTCATATATATATATATACATATGTATATATATATATGAGTCTAGTGGCTCTTCATCAGCAGGGCCTTAGTGTTTGAAATCAGTTTTTTTCACATACAAATGTTTTGGGTTTTGAAACCTCTGCAGTCCAAGCTGGTCTTGAACTCACTGCAATCCTCCTACCTCAGCCTCCTGGGTGCTGGGACTACAGTTGAGAGCCATACTACTCATATACAAATATTTTCAATGCTGTTGAGATACAGCAGTGTAGGTTCTGTGAGTGGAGCCCCCTTATCCTTTCCTACCCTGGCGGCGCGATTACTTCATGACGTCAGCAGTGTTTTCTCACCCAGCACTTCCTCTTCGTAGGTACCCTCGGCAGTGCTGCAGCCAACCTCACAGGCCTCCCTCTGCGGAAGACAAGCGGCATGAGTCAGTGCCTTGGAACTGTGTTTGCTGATAAACTTCAACCACAGTCGGGAACCCAAGTGCCTTATCTATCTTTATACTTGTGGTGTGGTGGCACATGCATGTCATCCTAGCCCTTTCCAGGTAGAGGCCCGAATTCAAGGCCACCCTTAGCTACTCAAAAAGTGTGGGACACCCTGAGCTTTATAAGAACCTGTCTCTCCAACTCAGCCTACAGAGCAAGTTCCAGCACAGTCAGGGCTGAACACAGAAAAACCCTATCTCAAAAATAGATAGATAGATAGATAGATAGATAGATAGATAGATAGATAGATA